AAATTTGTAACAATCTACATGAGGTTGGTGATTTTCGGTTAATTGGGCAAAATAATTTTTTAGTCCATATCAACAAAAAAGAAGCAGAAAGGAACTGCCAAAAATGCCGAACAGAAATTTCACGCTGAGTTTTGAAACTATAATGAAAATGAGCTTAAACAGTGGATCCTTTTATTTCAAAACACAGCTTTTTTAAATGAAAATAATATTAAAAGTAAAGCTAATTAGTTATATCCTTTTCTTCTTTTCACGACTCTATTGGTAGCTATGATGATTATTATCTATGTTTTTTCCGACTTTCAAAGAAAATACCGAAAAAATATGTTTGGGTAATTTGTTTTTTTTTTTCAGTAAAAAATTTTTACTTTCAGTCATTTTTTGTATAATTGTGGGAGCATGAAGTTTTTCTATTTGAAAAATTCGGAAGAAATAACGGTTGATATGCTAAGTTGTTATAACACGCGTAACTGGCTATCTAAATTGTTCCATGTTGAAATAAAGCCAGAATTTGGGCCTCAATAAAACAGTTTGAGACTCTAAACACGTCCAATCGCGCGGTGTGATCAAAGAAAAACAAGTTTGAAAGAAAAAATTTCAAAATTTTTGTCGACTTTTTTTAGGTCGACCAAACTGATTTTTGGAGCGCTCCCAGAACCTTATAAATACCCTATTCTGACAAAAAAAAATTGGTTAAAATAGGGCAGGTTGACTTGTACCATTTTTTAACAAAAAAAAACAGGTTAAAAAGTCTCCCCTTCACAATTAGTATATATTGGCGCCAAAGGCGTCTTCAGAAAAATTTTAGAGTTGGTCGGCCAAAAATGGCTATCATAAAAAATCCCAAAACGGGGACCCCTTGGTTGGCGAGGGGTTCGAATCCCAGAGGGGGGAGCGTCCCCCCCTAAATCCGTCCCTGGCTCAAATTTTAAAAAAGTTTATTTCACATTAGATCTTTTCTGCAAAGTTATGAGGGTTTTATAATAGCCAGTTTGGGATATTTATCACTTTGCCGTTTTTGCATTGACTCAGAATCCATTGCCAAGTCCAAACTAAACAGAGTCGCTCGAAATATTATGTAACTAAATGCTAAATATATCATTTGCTTTTTAATAGTCATTAATATGTCATTTAAAAAAACGAAAATTATTCCACAGACGTTAAAGCTCCGTCGTAACATTTAAGGTTTTGCCTTGATACAAGAAGTCTTCTCAAAACACACCAATATTGTCTCATAAGAGACAAGGGATGCATGAACAATTATTTTAGATTAAGGACTGATGGCAAAAAACCATTCAATCATGGATGCTGGCAAAAGTTTTGATCTTGCCCAGGTCAAGAGTTTGCTTTTAATTTGTCTGTTTCAGACGAATTTTTGATTTGCCTCTCTTGACATTTAAAAACTCATTAACTTTTCTGGAGTTGAAAAGTTCAAAATGATGTAGAAGTTTTATCACGAATTGGATAAACATTAAATTGATGCACAGGGAGATTATATCTAATAATAAACTTGTTCAGTTGATTGGTATTGCATTTAAAAACTATTGGTTTTTCAATTGCGGAACTCTATAATGTAATCAGTATTTTGGCTCTGAATTTGAAAATATGCTCAATCAACAAATTTCATAATAGTTATTTGATTTAGTATATTTGGTTCTGCTGTACAGCATTTTGTTCAACCGCTCTCGTGTGAAGGAAACTATGGCCTTAAAGGTTATGGGGATCAAAATCTCAATTCTTAGACTTTTTCTCCTTTTCATGGTCAAATTTATTTTTTTTTAATTTTGAGATATCCACAATGAAAAACTAGAAAATGATTCAATTGCGATCATCTGCTGGTAAATTGCTGTGTACAGTTTAGATCTGAAATGGAAACTATATAACTTTTCTATGCCAAAATTTTCTCTGCCATTGGACATCTTTTTCACGCTCTTACACCTCAATAATAGTCTAATTGGGATCGATTGCACTTAGAACGATCTTGAAGAGCTCAGCCAAAAAAAGGGTTCTTTAAAATTGGGTTTCTGAAAAAAATAACTGTCCAATCCGTCTGCCCGAAAGTCTGCTAACGTTGTCGTAATTAGTGAAAAATCAATTTCACCTGAGCAAAATAAAGTAATATAGAGATATATAATTGACGTGACAGGATTATGGTATCTCTATATGATTGACGTGACAGTTAATGCAGGTTTATGAAAGCGAACTTGAATTAAACTTTTCCACTCTTAATTTTTGAGCTGTACGATGCGAGGAAACTCAACCCGGATCATGGTATTTTCACTTGTCTTTTCCTGCTTAACTTTTTTTCTTATTTATAGACTTTTTAATGAAGCTGAAGTTGAAGTTGAAGTTTTTTTTAGATATGGTGTCTAACCTGAAGCAGATGTCACTGGACATCTCAAGTGAATTGACCAATCAGAACTCTCAAACGGAGCGACTGGCGAAAAAAATATGCGTGAACAGAAATCAAGTGGAGAAGGCAAACAGAAAAGCTGACATTCTATTACACTGAAGTTGACTCTAATTTATTAAGTCGGCTCTAGTTGCTGTTGTTTATTTTAAAAATTATAGTATTTTTTATTTTTAGTTTCTCTATTTATGTTTGAAAAAATCAAAGCAGTTATTTCAGTTAACTTCTTCGTAAATTTTCGGTCACATGAATTCTCTGCTATTGCAAATCGCCCTCGCAAAACGACCAAAAATGACGCGCAATAATAGTTTTTCTTAACTGGTCTGTTTGTCTTATTGTGTTTTTTGATGTACAAGAAATTAGTTTAGAATTCACATGGCTATCTTATGTTGACTATGGAGTCATGAATTCAATCAAAGTGCAAATTTATTATGCTAGATTATTTATTAGGATATTTATTAGGATATTTTCAATTAATCAACATTAAATTTTTACAATCAATACAAAAATATAACAAAACAACTTTTGGTCAAAAAAATTTTCACGGCATAAAATGAATGAAAAAATTAGGTGAATTTTCAAATGTGTCCGAAAGCACTTCGTTTTTCATTGAATCTTCACTATAACTGAGCAACAGCTATTAGAAACGTTAATGATATTTTTTTTGTTTTTTTTTGGTGCCAGGGGTGTTTTTTTCCAGGACAATTGTTTCGGCTATTAACCCAACAACTTTTGCGAGCAAATTTTTTACAGATAAGCTATTAACAGCTTGAGCTAAATAAATTTTTACCTGTAATAATTTTCTTGGGAGAAAAATAAGGGTTTGAAATTATCTAATCATTAAAAATGAGAGGACTTTGGTGACCTTTGGAAGTGATGCTTGGTAGCCTGTACGACAAAAATGTGATTAAGCAATTCTCAAATTTAACTTCAAAAAAATCTAAAGATTTTGGTTTAAGTGGTTTTTAAGCAAAGTTTTTGTCCATATCCCCAAATCGCAAGTCAGCAAAGGTTTTAGAGTCATTTTTTTGTATTCATCTACTCTTATTGTCTTTTCAAAGTTACTTGCTTCAGTCATTTTTTGATTGCTTTTCTGGTTGTTGCAGGTTGCGTATACGTCATTTTCTTTGGATTTATGGGATCAACATTTCTTTCAGGAATTATTTTTATTTGGAAATATTACTCCAGTCCTTCCACGGAGTCTGAAGACCAGTTATTTGTTGAAATAGTTAGAGGATGACTGCGGCATTATATATTAAAATAAAAAAGACCCTATTACAAAACTGTTCGTATATCAGGACAAAACACTAAAAAACTCGACTGTCCATAACTGGTCTGTGAAAGCTTTAACTGCTTCACATATAATTCCTCGCTTTTTAAAAATCGGAACATACAACTAAAATACGCAGATATAGATAGGGTTGTTTGAAAAAGTGCGAGAACGATTAATGAATATAAATCTGTACCAAGACTGCTCGTATCAGCAACAAGACTGCTCAAAAATCTAGCCATTCTGACCACGCGTTAAAATCGAAGCGATTCATCATCTCATTAAGAACTTTAAACTTTGATGAAAAATCAAAAAACAATTATTCTTTTTAGATTTGTTGTTGCTTTCATTTATTTGTTTGTTTGTTTGTTTGTGTGTGGCGAAGTGTAGTCTAGTAAAAACTTCGCTCCCCCAGCTCCCCTTCTGTATCTCTCCGGTTAAACAGTACGGCTTCGTCGCGTTCTGCTGAGTAACTTCCGTGGACAGCTGCGATTTCAGCGTGTTTTGGAGTGTTATCGGTGATAGATCTTTCTATCACGGCTTTTGCACTCTTGAAAGTATTTGATCTTTGATCACCTTTCAGGATTGTGGTTTCTTAGCTAGTTTGTCTGCAATCAAGTTTCAGGGATCTCCATGTGGCCGGGGACTGTATCTCATTGTATCTCATTTTGGGCGGTTTAGGAAGTCCAGTTGTCGTCTGATATGAAGAAAGATTGCAGATTGGACTCTTCTGAGGGCTTCTCTTTCGAGTGATTGCTGGCCCAAATCGTCTGATCATCGGCGAAGATTGAATTAAGAGCCTCTGAGGGCTACCGAATTGATGTAAAAAAGGAAGAGCATCGGTGACAGTAGTGCGTCTTGTGGAAATCCATGAATTAGCCATCTCGTTCCTCTGCAGCCGCTCTTAAAGGATGTGCGGAAGTGCGGTATGCGGAAGGCCATTTAATTTATGTCTGATGTATTTTTGAATATATTGTAGCAAAGGCTACTTAAAGAACAAAAACAATGCATTAAAAAAGCCTTCTAGCTTGCCTCAAGTCTCTTTGGAATGATTTTGAACCGGATTGAATAGCCGTTTGCGCGGTAAAAGAACGAAACAAAACGCGTTTTACTTTTCCCATTGTATCCAAACAAGCTATTTTCCAAAAAACTCGAGCTCACGACAGTATTTTTTGAATGGTCTTCGAATGAACACCATTCGAACATGACTAGTTTGTAAGTCAAATTTAGTCAGGAAAAATCAACACCAATCACAAAGCCGGAACAAGGCTACTCTTCTAACGAAGCCTTGATTTATTCTGCCCTGCAAGGCCAAATAACAAGACTGCTCGTATCAGGGCGAATCCCTGAATGTTCCGAATGCCTTCTGAGGTTTATGGAGCAAAAGAAAACAAAAAAAGTAAATGTAATAAAATAAAATGACACATTTTTTTTTCTAAAATTTGAATTTCTTTAATGAAAATCATCTCCCCACACGCCATATAAAGTACAAAAGGATAGAAACTAACCAATTTATATGAGAGCAGACCCGAAGCTTAGGATTTTCAAGGCGGTCAAAAAGATATCAAATAAAGGGTTGACCCCCCTCCCCCACCCCACACTGGCTAGACAGTTACACTGATATTCTTATCATGCCTTAGGCGGCGAAGGGTGCAACCTCCTATCAGGTAGTCTGAGTAACTGGTTGAACTCAATTTTAAATTTGAACTTCTTAAAAAAATATACTAAATGAGATTAAAATATTTTCCAACCAGAAACCTGTACAGAGTTTAATGCCTCCTTTTTACAGTTAGTTGGTTCTTTTATAAAATCATAGTTTCGCCTAAAGGTCAGAAAAATGGTTTGCTCAGCGTTCGTTCCCGTTGACAATTAAACCTTCGCAATCCGAGAGCTCCGAAAAGACTGTACTTCAATGGAATTTCAGAGTATATCGGACTATTTTGAAAACGCTTAGATTGGAGCCTGCCAAAGAAACAGATGCGTGTAACAAATCAATTATGGCAAATCAGCTTCTTTCAACCAATTTGGAACGATTTCTAAGACGGATTAAATCTCGCTTACGCGTTAGTAGCGCGAAATTTATCGCGCGTTAAGTGTCCCAAATTGGCCAAAATGGCATTCTTTAAACCCCCATAACTTTACAAAAAAAGATCACTGGTGAAATATCTTTTCAAATTCAAGCTCAAGACAATAACAGCTTTCGAATGATATAAAAAAAAATTGCGTCAAAAACGGCTAGTTAAAAAGTCGAAATTTGTCTGAAGAAAAAAAAACCCACCCCGAGCACAAATATTCCGTTACTTTCGTATCGAAAGTCGGAACAACAAGGCTACTCTTCTAACGACGCCTTGATTTATTCTGCCCTGTAAGGCCAAATAAAAACTTGTCGGATGAACAATTGGAAAAATTTCCAAAAACAGAAGAATTGTTTCCCGTTTGTTCTTCATTTTTACTACCGACTCGCTATGTAAAGTACATAAGGATGTCTTAGCCACCAGTTTCCTTATAGATAAAAACCAAATGAGTTGTCTCTACTATTTTATCCACTATTTACTAATGTTATTAGAACGCAATTTATCGGACTTTAATTATCTCAGGTTGCTAAACTAACGTATTAATTAGAGTAACTGGTATGCCTTAATACAATTTGAAACAATTTTTGAGTTGGAATAAATGGCCTCATAAGGGGTAAATCACAAAACACAGCATTACTTTTCCCAAGTTGCCGAACTGGTAAATTTCAAATTGCATAATTTTGCGTATTTCTTTGAACTCAAGTCATCAATAGCTTTCAGATTAAAAAAAATAAGGTACGCGGAGTCTCCGAAGGAGCAATATCATCCAGGTAAGGCAGTAGCGGAATTTTAGCCAACTAATTATAGTCTGATCAGGTTATTTTGACAATTTAAATAATCATGTAAAGCCAAAATTAAATTGTTTACAAACAATTAATTGATTCTTTAATTTTTTCTACTTTTTTAAAGGTGGTAGAAATAGTGAGAAAAAGTTAGTAAAAAAATGGCACTGTCTCGAGATTCTTAAAAATTAGCATTTTAGCTATTTAAGTAGAATTTCTTTCTGAAAGGTTTTAAAACACTAAAACGAAACTAACTGATCAATTTGCTCATCAATGTTCAAAAATTGAGTCACTTTTTTGCACATAAAAATTTAGCCATTAGATTAAGGCTAATAAATTTTCATAAAAACTGCAAAATTTACTCATCACCCACAAGTTTGTTCACTTAATTTTTTTGGGCGAGACAAAACCTATAAGCCGTAGGAAAGTCAAATTTCTACAAAAATTATTCATCGACATTCTACTCAAGGTATCGGGAGTTCAATTTTCTTTGAGAAGACTCATTTTGACGTGCGTAAGAAACCATAAAACACTGGTTCAAAGAGCCGTCAGTTTGTTCCCTTGGGACCAAAAAATTGCAACACAAGGCCACAAGCCGTAATCGGCCTCACCCGTAAGATTATTTTGTTGTGTGGTAAAAATTGTACATGGCTCTTTGTATTTCGCTCAATAAGCTATTTTTATTGCTAGATCCTCAAGTATACACGCACACCATTTGCTTCTCGTGGTTTCCCGCACTGACAATATTGGGAATGAAATCGATTTAAATCAATTTTGTACAGATAATACAAAGTATTTGAACGAACGTTACGGCAAAAAAAATCTCAATCTTATTTCATTCGCAATGATTTTTGCAAAAAAACTCAAAAGATCAAATTTTTGGTTACAAAATTCGCGAAATAAATTGGTAAAAAACTAAGCAACTTTTGTTCCCTTCGTTTTTTTTTTAATAATCTTAACGCAATTTAAGAAAAACACGGCGAAGTTTATTACTGCTATTCGTTTCGTCCGGTTAATTTAAATCAGCATTTTATACTAAAACCCATCAAAACTTCAACAGATTTGGTTTAACTTTT